TGACCTCCATTTTCCGACGATAAGTCACGATAATGAAAACCCCGAGACGATAGGGGTGTAGGGAAGGAAGCTCGTATCTCGAGGGCGAGGAATGAACGTTTCCATTATTTTTCTTTGTCATATTAAAGTTTCCGACAACGATATATCATGGAGCGGGAAGATCTAGTTCTGGCCGAGATCGCTTCTTTAAGATATTTTCTAACGCACGTAGGCATGTTCCCTGGTCCAGGCGAGGATAAATCTCCCTTGGACGTCCCATGGATCTCTTATTACCTTTCTAGCGCTCGTAAGACTCCCCATGGTTCATTTAATTAATTAATGTACCGAGAAAAGCGATGCGAACGTCCCTTTTTAAAGCGTTTCGTCCATTGTCCCGGCGCGGGCGAAACGATCGTTGAAACAATTCATAAACAATTTGGAAATAAATGGGGTCGACATCTTCTCGAGTTATCGCGAGAATTCCTTCTAGCGAACTTTTTATGAACGTAATGACTCGAGTTGGGTATAAACAATCTCTTTTGCTAATCCTTGAGTGAAATCCTCGACTTGATGCGAACGCCTATTTTTTAAGCGTTTCGACCATTGTCCCGGCGTGGATGAAACAATTCATAAACGATTAATAAACAAAAGGGGTCGAAGTCATCTCCAGTTCAAAGTTCTCGCGAGAATTTCTTCGAGTAAATTTTTTACGGACGCAACAATGCGGTTTGTGCATAAATAACATCTTTTACTAATCCTCGACTATTGCCAACGCCATTTTTTTAAGCGTTCGTCCATTGTCCTGGCAAGGACGAAATAATTCATAAACAATTAATAAACAAAAGGGGTCGAAGTCATCTTCTCCAGTTCAGAGTTCTCGCGAGAATTTCTCCGAACAAATGTACGGAAGTAGCAACGCGATAGCATAAACAACTTCTTTTACTAATCCTCGACTATTGCAAACTCCCCTTTCTTAAACCTTTCGTCCATTGTCTCGACGCAGACGCAACAATCTTCGAAACAATTCATAAACAATTTAGAAACAAAAGGAGCCGACGTCATCTTCTCCAGTTCAGAGTTCTCGCGAGAATTTCTCCGAACAAATCTACGGAAGTAGCAACGCGATAGCATAAACAACCTCTTTTGCTAATCCTCGACTAAGCCTGAGGTAAATTTCGGAATATTGGCTTTGTCCCCGATAACCACCAAAGCTAGAGTACAGGTACAAAACGCCGAAATCCAATTAAGCCGGCATTTAAGCCATAACTAAATTACCGAGTAGTCGATAGTTTGCCCAAAATTTGTGGACCTAACAAATTGGCACCCGCTCTAGTGTAAATCTGGGCATCATCTTGAACGGATAGGCATCCCTAAATTAAGCTATCCGTCCAAGAAGGCGAAGGATAAATCCTAAACGAACGTGGAAAGGACTCCAGGACACGAGTAGGAGCTTATTTCAGTAGAAATGGGAGCCTCCATTCTAAGATCCATAAAGGACCGTCTGGTCGATTCCTGGAGCTCATAAGCTCCTCGGTGAACGTTATCAGCGAATGGCATGCCAATGGAGGGAAAATTCGATAGTTCGGCAACGGATCTGACGTCATGTCGGTTCGTTCCACGCAGATGGATGCAGCTCGCCCGTGTAATGTCGTACACGTACGCGGGCCCGCGGATAATAGTCACAGATATAGCGTACATTTGCGCATACGAGTACAAGAGAGAGTACACAGTCATCCGCGGAAGTTCGACGCAGGTTTTCGACTCGAGCATCTCGCCGCTGCGGTTCCATAATCGATATTTCGACCCAGAGCGAGCCTGTCGATTCTTCCCTCACCCTGAGCAGTAAATTACATTGCAATCGATGTTTCCTGGTAAATGGCGAGACCTCCCTCGAGGATCGTCGCCTGGAAGATAATTCTCGATGGCGAGGTTCAAAGTGCTCTGGACTCAAAGAAGATCAAGATGGCGTCGGTCCCTAGGTGGAGGATTCAAGGTCTACGTGGGCTGGAAGCGGCTCCAAGACGCTCCGAAGATGGGGTGTCGCTTTCCTGGAAAAGCGGGAAAGCAGGACTCAATTAGAGCGATCGATGGAGGAGATACTCGGTGACGATTCGCCGGGTTCGGTTTACCCGAGGACGAGTTCCGAGTTCCTCCTCCGGCGACGCCGAGGCGTCGAGTTACCCGGATTGTCTGCCCCCGTAACGAGACTGTGGTTCGAGAAACGGGAGACGCTACGTGGGGCAAAAAAGACGTCGAAACGTTAACGCGGCAGGAATATCGCCAGGGGGGAAGACTTTGGGGACGTAAACGCGGGAAGATCGAGGGGGAGCGTACGAGTAAAGCGTTCGCCTTCGGTCCCGCTCGGGGAGCCGAGGGAAAATGTGAGGGACGTCGAGATGTTTGCGCGATACTCTTTTTTGCCCCGCCGGAAGGGCGCCCGGAAAAACGGAAGGCCGAGTGGAACGATCGCTCTTTTCGGGAACTCACATCCCCGAAATTCGGCGAGGAATTCGCTGCGAGGAGTATAAAGAGAGTTTTCACGAAATGGAAAAGCGTCGAGACGTTTGAGCGAAACAAAATGGCGGCCGGAAATGGGAAACCCTGTGGGGCGTTCGCTCTTTTCGGAAACTCTTATCCCCGAAACTTGGCGAGGAATTCACTGCGAGGAGTATAAAGAGAGTCTTCATGAAATGGCGGAGCGTCAAGATATTTGAGCAAAACAAAATGGCGGCCGGAAATGGGAAACCCTGTGGGACGTTCGCTCTTTTCGGGAACTCTTATCCCTGAAACTCGGCGAGGAATTCGCTGCGAGGAGTATAAAGAGAGTCTTCATGAAATGGCGAAGCGTCGAGATGTTTGAGCGAAACAAAATGGCGGCAGGAAATGGGAAGCCTGGGGGACGATCGTTCTTTTCGGGAACTCGCATCCCCGAAACTCGGCTAGAAATTCACTACGAGGAGCATAAAGAGGTTTTTTCACGAAATGGCAAAGCGTCGAGATATTTGAACGAAACAAAATGGCGGCAGGAAATGGGATGCCTGGGGGACAATCGCTCTTTTCGGGAACTCACATCCCCGAAACTCGGCTAGAAATTCACTACGAGGAGCATAAAGAGAGTTTTCACGAAATGGAAAAGCGTCGAGATGTTTGAGCGAAACAAAATGGCGGCCGGAAATGGGAAACCCTGTGGGACGTTCGCTCTTTTCGGGAACGCATCCCCGAATCTCGAGGAGAAATTCGCTGCGAGGAGTATAAAGAAAGTTTCCACGAAATAGCAAAGCGTCAAGACGCTTGAGCGAAACAAAATGGCGGCCGGAAAAGGGAGGCCGAGGAATTCGTTGCGAGAAGTACGAAGAGAGTTTGCACAAAATGGCAAAGCGTCGAGATGTTTGAGCGAAACAAAATCGCGGCCGGAAATGGGAAACCTCGTGGAACGATGGATGGACGAAGAATTCGCCGCGACGCGCGAACAATACGATGCCGCGAATAATACAAAGGCTTTCTAAAAAAAACGAGACGACAGACGCTTAATATCGGCAGACTTTGCAGGTGCATTCGTCCCGAAGAACCGATTGCATTTCCGAGCCTTTAGGCAAAGTAGTTTAAAGGGGTGGTCTGGTTTTATTAATTAGCCCGGGGCTTTGTTAATTCCGTTCCGGCGCGCTCCTCGTATAAAAGTCCGGTTCGCGGATTTAGCGGCGCCGCGCGTTTCCGGTTGGCCCGGGTTTGCCTAAATTAAGCGTTAAGGGTCGCGCGGGCAAATCGCCGGCGTTTCCGGCCGCGATCTCCTCGCGCAGGTGCCGCTCACCAACGAAGGGTGAAACGGCGGAGCAATTCGCGTCCCGCGATCCGGAATTGCATTGTGTGAGAGGGAATTGACAGTGAGTCGAGCCCGAGCGAACGAGGACGTCCCTCTCTTTTCATCGAGTTAGCGGCGAGCCTCGAAATCGGAAACGCCTCTCACCCGGGCCACGTCCATCTCCTGGGGGACGTATGGAAACGTCAGGGGACCGTCGAGTGCTCGACACGAAACGCACATCCTCCGTAGGCGGAAAGGAGACATCGGAAAAACGAGCGAAATTTCTTTTATCCTATATAGATCCTACACAGAAAGACCACGAGACGTTCTCGTTCGTTTTCGCGCATGAAGGTGAAGAGAAATCCCCTTCAAATAAGTCGATTCGAATACAACACTTTTTTTTAAGGGTATTGGACCAAATTGTCCGAAACTTTGACACGTGGCACGTGATCATCTAAGCATTGTCCCGACACATTCAAGATTCGGATTTTTGGAAAACATTTTTTAACAGTCCAAACCAGAATCAAAATGGCGTCGAGCTCTCATATTAATTGCCGTAATTGACTGCCGAGGGACCCCCTGCACCATCTGTGATTCCCAGGTCAATTAAATTTTCACTCCGAGACCTCGTATTTCCATCGTTTCGGCATAGAAGCGCATAAAACACTTTTTTCGCCTTTATCCCGTTCAAACGCGAGTTTATCGACTACCAGAGTATTCTAAATTGTCGTAAAATTGTCCTGACCCTTTCGATTCTCATATCAGAGCCTTCAATAATTGTATATTGATCGAAATATGAGAGCTCGACGCCATTTAATTCTGGTCTGGACTAAGTTAAACAATTTTTTCCAAAAATCCGAATTTTAAATATATCGGGACAATGCTTAGATAATCATGAGTCACGTGTCAAAGTTTCGGACAGTTTGGTCCAATACCCTTAAAAAAAAAAAAGTGTTGCATGAATCTACTGATTTGAATGATTTTTCGCTTCATCTTAAGGGGTTAATGAGGTCCAAGCGCTATTAAAGCACGATTAACGCCTGATAAGGCGCGGTTAAGACGCGTCTTGGAGCTCCGGTCCTATCCATCGCGTCAGGTCGGCAACGCCTCCAGAAACGCGATAACCCCGCACAGAGGTGTTTACTTGCGATCCGTTTATCGGTCTAATTATCGGTGGCTCGCAAGAAGAGGGGCGATTCATTTTATTTCCCCGTGCTTTCAGGCGTGCCGACCCAGGGAGCAGGAGAAGAGCTCGAAGGCGACCGTCATCCAAGGATCGCGACCGAACCGAGGGTAACGATCGATTCGTCTCGTCGTTAATTGGTTCCTCGCCATCGGACGTCCTCTTGCGACGTTTTTGCGGGCTACCATGAACTCTTCTTACGGTGCAGCCAAAATTGGGACCCTCTCCATGGACACGGTGCAGTCGGATGCACCCGGAGGATACGTAGCGACCTTGGTGGTTCTTTTATTTTTCCCCCTTTGCAGAGCACCTAACATCGGCAACGTCCTTTCTTCAGCATTCTCGTCCTTACAAGGAAGGTATCCCAGGTCGATCTCTTCGATTTCATTTCTTTCATAATATGTTATAGTAGACTAAGAACTAAGCGACACGTATTTTTTTTTATCTGCCATTAAACACTTTAAGGGGGTGAAGCCACCATCCAAAGGAAGGCATGTCAAGGAGCGATTTGGCAGTTCCATCCACCAGAACATAATATTTTTCATTTCTCGTTATGAGAAAGCTTTTCTAAATGGATTGGTTAAAAAATATTATGTTCTTTCCTAGGAGTACAAAATATTTGTCCTGTATTTTCTACATAGTTAACGAATATCGTACATTTTAAATATTTGCAAAACGTTTACATTAAAATATTATCTCTACAATATTTATACCATATTAGCTCCACGTGTTTACATAATATTTTTCTATCAGATATACAAAACATTTCGTTTCATTTTAATACAAGTATTTTTTAAATATTATCTGTCGAATGCATTATAAACGTTTTAAAAATATTTAAAATCGAAATCACACGTTCTGCTCCCATAATGAAATAGCGGGACGAAAATATTAGAAAAATTTCGTTTCATTTTAATACAAGTATTTTTTAAATATTATCTGTCGAATGCATTATAAACGTTTTAAAAATATTTAAAATCAAAATCACACGTTCTGCTCCCATAATGAAATAGCGGAACGAAAATATTAGACAAATTTCTCGTGTTTTTTGATACCAAATGAAGTGTCCGATAATAGTCGTAAAGTAAAACATGTATTTTTATTACGTTAATAAGTTAAAAAATATAATTTCTCTATATGTTTATAAATCATTGAAACTAAATATGCCATTGAGATTTTCAACAAATATTTCAAATATCTTTGAATTAAATCTACAAGAAATCTTGAAAAATCTATCGCTAGAGATATTTAGTAAAGATTCCAAAGAAATATTTAGAAATTATTCTATGCTACTAGGGTTATAGATGAAACTGTCAAATCGCCCCTTGACATGCCTTACTCTGGATGGTAGCTTCACCCCCTTAAAGTGTTTAATGGCAGATAAAAAAAATACATGTCGCTCAGTTTTTAGTCTACAATAACATATTATAAAAGAAATGAAATCGGGGAGATCGACCTGGGATACCTTCCTTGTTAGTCGTTGTTGCCACGTGCGCCACGTCGAGCTCCGTGTACATATGCGCATCCTTTATAAATCTGTAACGTGATCATGGTGTGTTAATAATAATAAAAACGTAAAAAAGGAAGGCGGAGAGGCCGTTGACTGTACAACTTTGCGAGGCGTAACGCGAGGACGAATAAATGGACCGATGAAACGCAGTCGTTGGGGGAAAGCGAAACGATCCGCCGTTGTCGAGGTCCGCCCGTGCGTTTCGTCGGTCCGTTTAATAGCGACACAGTAATCCGTCGTTTAACGGCCCAGGACTCAATGTCGGACCCGTAAGTGGAAAAAGCAGGGACATTCCCGGAGGCAATTTCGAGTTTCTACTCGACCACTCGATTCGGCCATTACAGGTGGACGCTCGGAGGTTCAAACGATTCCCCGTGAACGAAGTCTCGCCGTTAAGGTGAAGTGAAACACGTCGAGGAACTTGATCGACGTCGATAAAGGAGATTTTTCTAAATGCCTACGTTGCCGACGTTTGTTTTATATCGACAGCTGTGTCGAATTATATTGGATATTGTACCAAATGGTATATTCTACCTGTCGTTTTCGTACAATGATTATAAAGAAATCGAAGTAAAACTCCAGAAATTCTCTGGATTCATGCTTTCTGGGGCCCTAATTGACTGCAGAGGGACCCCCTGCGCCATCTGTGATTTCCAGGTCAATTAAATTTTCACTCCGAGACCTCGTATTACCATCGTTTTAGCATAGAAGCGCATACAACACTTTTTTTGCCTTTATCCCGTTCAAATGCGAGTTTATCGATTACCAGAGTGTTCTAAATTGTCGTAAAATTGTCCTGACCCTTTCGATTCTCATATCAGAGCCTTCGATAATTGTATATTGATTGAAATATGAGAGCTCGACGGCATTTTGGTTCCGGTCTGGGCTGAGTTAAAAAATTGGTGTGAAAAATCCAAATGTTGAATGTGTCAGGACAACTCTTAGATGATCAGGAGTGATGTGTCAAAGTTTCGGACAGTTTGGTCTAATACCCTTAAAAAAAAGTGTTGTATTCGAATCGACTGATTTGAAGGGTGTTTCACTTCACCTTAAACGGGGGAACAGGTAAGACATTATCCCCGGATCGATCGGCCTCGATTAACCCCACCCCCTGAGCCGCCTCCATTAACCAGGTAACGAGCAATTACTTTTGAGCCGCGGACTTCGTTTGCTCCTGGAGCGCTTCCCCGGCTCGGGTTAGAATTAATTAGGAAAACGTAGCGATATCCGACGACGACTCCTGGAAATTTCAATTGAACCGAAAGCAAGAGGTTTCGCGGTTCGCTTTTTGTTTCTCATCGATCCACGGATTCCGATTGGTTACGAAGCGAGATGCGATTGGAGCGAAGCTTCGGAAACTTGGCGAGAACTTCTCCCGAGATTAAGTACACCGCCTCGGGGATAGACAAGTTTTATAGACAGCATAACGAAAAGGACCCGCTGGAACTTCGAGACGACTTCCAGGGCGAATATCGCGAGAGCCATTCATCCGGGGCGACGTGGAGTACCTAATTCGCGAGTGCTCTCGTTACGATCGCGGATCCTCCTGCATGTACGCGAGATACAAGAAGAGTGACTTATTATTAACGAGGCGAGTTTCCAACCAGGCTCTTGGCCTGGCTGATAAAAAGCCGAAGTTCCCCAAGCCCCTGAATTTAAAGAGTTTAAGAAACTGCTGCAATTCATCCGCGGAATCGAGTTCTGCCTTTCGTATTTACCTGGAAAAAAATTGCCTGTTGCGAGGCCAGCTTGGGAGATAATTTAAGGGACTTTACCACTGTGTACGTCGAAAAAATTACACATTGTTGACCGTTTTTTTTGTCTCAAAAGGACTGCATATAACGGCACAAACCTTTTTCTTTTATCCACGAAAGGTCTAGGAGAATACAGGAAGATTTTTCTTTTTAGTATTAAAAATGCATATTTATTTATTATTACGAAATTTATTAGTACGAAGTAGTAAAAGAAGAAATTGTTCGTTGCTGGCGCAGGTGATCGAAGCCCTCCTGGTGATCTGAAACGAAAAATTCAAAAAGAATCTTATCTAATCGGTAAGGCCGTCGCTATCGGCCGTACCTCAATCATGGTAAAATTTTAATTTTAACTCATACTTTTGCCTCAATTATAGCGCAAAAAACGTGTTCTTTTTAACACTTGCAAAAACGCCGCCATTTTGTTAATTTATGATGTAAATTAATAATTGAGGTACAGGTGGTAGCGACTTACAGATTAAAAATCATTTTGACTTTTGTTGTTTCAGAATCACCAGGAGAGCTTCGATCACCTGCGCCAGCAACAATAAATTTTCTTTTTATTACTGTACGTTTGTAATAATAAATAAAGAAATATGTATTTTTAATACTGACAAGAAAAACATTCCTGTATTCTCCTACGTTAGACCTTTCATAAAAAAAACAAGTTCTTGCCATTATACCCACCAAACACGGTTATGTAACAATAATGTAACTGTTACATAACTTTGTACCATGTAATGTAACATACATATAATATATAAGTAAGATTTGTTTTACTGTTTCCTTCGCATCTATATAACCCTGTTATAAAACAAATAGTGTACCGTATACATAACACATCGGTAACATGTTATATGTTAGGTTAATATTATATAACTGAAATGCTTACAAGTTTGTAACAATGTAACCGAACGGTAATAACTCGACATGTAATGTAACATACAAATAATATATAAATAAGATTTGCATTACTATTCCCTCCTCAGCTATATAACCTTGTTATAAAACGAATAATGTATCGTATATGTAACATATCGGTAATATGTTATATGTTATGTTAATATTATATGACTGTAATGCTTGCAAGTTTGTAACAATGTTACCGAACGGTAATAATTCGACGTTATATGATATTAATGTATCTTTTGAATAACATTCGTTATATATCATGTTATTCCAGTGTTATGTAACCATGACATAGGGTGTTCGGTAGGTGTGCAGTACTTTGAGAAAAAAAAAACTGTCAAAAATGTGTAATTTTTTCGACCTTCACAGGGGTATAGCCCCTTAAAGTGAAGTGAAACACGTCGAGGAACTTGATCGACGTCGATAAAAAAGATTTTTCTAAATACCTACGTTGCCGATGTTCGTTTTTATATTGACGGCGGTGTCGAATTATATTGGGTAATGCATTAAATGGCATACTCCACCTGTGGTTTTCGTACAATAATTGTAAAGAAATCGAAGTAAAACTCCAAAAATCCTTTGGATTCATGCTTTCTGGGGCCCTAATTGACTGCAGAGGAACACCGTGCGCCATCTGTGATTTCCATGTCAATTAAGTCTTCACTCCGAGACCTCATATTTCTATCGTTTTGCCATAGAAGCGCATACAACACTTTTTTTGCCTTTATCCCGTTCAAATGCGAGTTTATCGATTACCACAGTGTTCTAAATTGTCGTAAAATTGTCCTAACCCTTTCGATTCTCATATCAGAGCCTTCGATAATTGTACATTGATCGAAATATGAGAGCTCGACGCCATTTTGGTTCTGGTCTGGACTGAGTTAACAAGTTTTGTTAAAAAATCCTTATTATGAATGTGTCAGGACAATTCTTAGATGATCATGAGTCATGTGTCAAAGTTTCGGACAGCTTGGTCCATCCCCATAAAAAAAAAGGATTGTATTCGAATCGACTGATATGAAGGGGGTTTCACTTCATCTTAATGTAAAGCCGTTGGCAAGTACGGGCACCTGTAGTTGGTGCCTTAGTATCAATCGCAGTCCGTAAACGCATCTCGAAAAGCTGACGAAGCCTGGAGCACAGCATCCTGCACTTCGGTTCGAAACACCCTCGCCGCGATTCCGTGCCTCATACGATATTAAGGACTATGGCGCGTAGATCCTCGTAGGATCTTTATTACCCGGTCGGCCATACGTAGGAAATACAAGATGGCCGGTGCAAGGTGTTGCCCTGACCGGGCAACGAGAGAGTAACGAGCTCTGGCGCCCATAGGAAACTTTAACGGATTTCGAGGGGGATCTCGGGAACGGGGCCCGAAAGAATTCGACGTCCCTTGGGAATTTTTCATGAACA